TGTTCTGGAATGCCAATAATTCTTATGTTATTCCTCTTCATGTTATCCAACATGAATCTTAGGCTTTCTTCAGATTTTTTTATTCTATTTTGTATTTGTTCTTCTATCTTAGTAGTGTTGAGAGATTTATCTTCTGTGTTGTTGTTGGCGGAGCTCTCTGCTATACGTCCACCCGATCCGCCATCTTGTTTGTTTTCCTTTTTTTTTTTTTTTTTTTTCTTAAGGAAGCTGTTCTTAACTTAATGAGGTGGTACACAGCTAACCTCATATTGGTGTTGCACTGAGGTTTTGGGAGGTGGTGGTATTTTGTTTCTTCTTTAGCTCCTCGCCCCTATGGTGGGTACAGCCCTCTGAATTGCCTGGAGGTGAGGTGGTGTTTTGGAGTGGAATACTCATTAGCATGGAAAATCTAACTGGCCTCCAAACTAGAAGCCCTTGGACTTGCGTCTCTCTGGGTTGCCAAACTCCTATGCAGTCTTACCTTCTCAGCTTCTTAAATCCACTGGCCTGGGTTTGGAGAGGTCAAGAACTGCCTGGGAACAGATACTTTACTGTTTCTTGATGTTGCCTGTGGGACTCAGAGCAGGGGAGTCAATGGAAATGGATGCATATCTGCTAAGCCACTAGGAGCTCTTAACCCATGAGAAGTGACTGAAGAGCTTTGTTTTCATTTCTAAAGTCAAAAGGGGAGTTCATACAGTGAATGGTCAGAAATCAGAATACCTTATTTTTTAAAATTTTAGCCAATATTTATTTTTACTTTATGAATCAGAGGTACAGACATATGAGAAATTTTTTTCTTAGGGCATGAACTTTGGAGACTGAAAGCCATGCCAGATTACTGTGGGCCTCCTCCCTCGTCCTGGGGATAGATTACTCTCTTAGTCTCTTTATTTTAGAATTTCTAAAGTGCAGAAATTCTTTTTAAGGAAATATCCAGAATTCAACTTGCAACATGAATGCAGTAAGACCCACTGGCTTAATCTTAATATTCCTGTTTGGCAGGTATGAGCTGGAGATACTAACATGTTGCATCAAGAAAGAGGCATGTAGCAAGCTGGGTGGCAGAACTGTAAATAAAACCTTAGAGAGTCTTGACTTCTTGGTCTTGTACGTTCATACCCTGACACCATGGAGAAAGGCGGTACAACTGAAATTCAGACACAAGTGTGAGGGAGGGCAAGAGAGAGACTAGGCCTGTTGAGACTTCTACAGATTTTGCCAAGAAATACTCCGTTTGAAGAAATGCGAGAGTGCAGCACCCCATTGTCACAAACCTCTCCATGATGAGGGAGCAGAAACTGTATCTTGTCAAACAAATCTAAGAAACAGTAACAGCAAGAAAGTCGCCACGAGCACTCCTGGGAGACTGATAGGTCAGTCAGAACACTGTTGTTAGGACTCTGGGCAGACACAGATGGAAAAGGAAAGTCTGTTTCTGCATGTTTCATTAGAACAGGTCAACACAGAAGGAAGGACAAGGCTGTGGCAACATAACCAGGCTTTTCTGTCAAACTCACAGGGACACAGCCTTTGCTCCAGCATGAGGGTTGGTGAGCCCCTGATTTTTGGAGTACATTTCTTTCTCTGTTGAGGAAAGTGAGGATACAGGTCAAACTGGGCTTGTGATTCCATATCCTGCTATTGTTGTTGTTGTTAAGTACCGCAAAGTCGGTTCTGACTCATAGTGACCCTACACAGGGTTTCCAAGGCTGTAAATCTTTACGGGAGCAGAATGCCTCATCTTTCTCCCGCGGAACCACTGGTAGTTTCAAACTGCCGACCTTGAAGTTAGCAGCCAGTAACCACTATGCTACCAGAGCTCCTTTCCTGCTATAGGCACCACTAAACAACAAGCTTTGCAGGAGCCATCCCAGGGTCACATGTGCACCAGACACCCAGAAACTGGGGGTTAACGGACCCATTGTATCCCAGAGGGGCTTCCCCATAAGAAGTAATGTCTGGTAACCATGGGAATGAGCAGAGGACTGTCTTATGAGCTCTTTTGGTATAGTTAATAAACAGCTTTCTGAGTCGATGAGATCAAAGAGCTCTTCCTTGTACTGAATTTTTCCTTTTTATTGAGGTATAAAATATATACTCTAAAGTGCATCAACTGTACTAATCTTAGTGGACAGCATTATTAATTTTTAACATGTGTGCTTAATTACCACCCAGATCAAGATCCAGGACTTTTCCAGGAATGTAGGAGGTTTTCTTGGCGCTCCATCCCAGTCAGCACCCAACCCCCACCCCAGAGGGAGGCACAACTCTGATTTCTATCAGCATTGATTGATTTTGACTGTTCTTGACCGAAATTCACAAAGATGAAATATTACCTTGTACTGAATTTTGTTGAAGATTGTCCATCATATGTCCTTCTTTCTTTCCTAGGCCTTTTTAGAGATGGCTTACACAGAAGCTGCCCAGGCGATGGTCCAGTATTACCAAGAAAAATCTGCTGTGATCAATGGTGAGAAGTTGCTCATTAGGATGTCCAAGAGATACAAAGAATTGCAGCTGAAGGTAAAACATTCTCAAGTTTACTCGTCATTCGCAAGCATCAACTTAGTCTATTATTTGTCAGGGTCTAGGACTCCTTGTCTGGCTCTGTAGGATCAGCACTGGACTTTGAACCACAATGTCAGCAGTTCAGATCTACCAGCTGCTCCTCGGAAACCCTATACAAGGTGCTATGAGTTGGAACTGACTCGACAGCACATAACAATAACAACAGTGTAAGTGCTGGCAGGGAAGGGAGGACAGGGCATGATTCAGAGGTTCCTCACTGCCTTTGGGGATCTCACATGAGAAACCAAACCAAGGAAAGTGATCACGCATGGAAGTTCACAATACAAAGAGATGCTTGAGACAGGATGACTACCTACCTGGGGGTCAAGCAAGATTTTATAGAGAAACTGATTGTCTGTACTGGGTCTTAATGGAAGAAGTGAGAGGGGAAAGGTAGGCTGCTTTTCAGAGATGGGAGTTGCAGACATGCACTGACTACAATCTCTCTCTCTGCCCTGACAAGTCTTCACTAACTTTTTTTCCCCTCTGTCACTACCCTCTCTTCTTTTCTCCTTTCTCCATTTTTATGTTTTAAGTCCAATACAAGGCATTTCAGTAATCACATGACTACACTGGCCACTTTCAGATAACTCAAAGATTTTCAGGGATGAATTTACATAATTCCAAACAGTGGTTGTAGTTTTGTTTTGTTTCTGTTTTAGGTGGCTCTACATTTCTTTTCCTTTCTTTTTTTATTGTGTTTTTTTGTGAAGTATAGCACCTACAGAAAAGTGAATAAATTATATACAAATCCCATAAAACCACCACCAAAGTCAAGAAGTAGGCCAAGGGCTACACAATTAACCATAAGTCATGAAAATAGCAGCAGATGCCCCAAACCAAGTGAAGGTAAAAAAGTGCTGGTACTTTGAGGGAATTGTTAACTATGATCCAAAACAAAATGTGTCTGAATTGTTGAGCAGAAATTAAAATTCTCTATAAACTTTCATTCAAACCACAGTTAAATAATACCAATAATAAATACCAGTAGTACCCAAAAGTCCTTGGTAGATGCCTCACTATGCTTAACCCCTCCCTTGCCACTTTCCTGACTTTGAGAATAGCCATTTTCCTCTTTTCCTGATAGTTCTACCACCTATGTATGTTCCTTAAACATAGTGTAAATTTGCCTGGTTTTGAACTTCTAGTGAATGGAATCTTACTGTCTATGTTTTTGGGTTTTTTTTTTTTTAATTATTATAAATTGAGCCAAGGTTTACAGACAAGATCATCATCTTTACATTCAACAAACCATACACCTGGTTTCATTTCAGTGATTACAATCCCTTCCATGTAACAACAGTTACCCTGCTTCCTCCCTGTGGTTCCCACCTGCATTCCACCCACCTTCCTATCCCTTCTCAAGTCTGTCATTTGGGAAATGTTGCCCTTTTGATCCCAAATGATTGCCCATTCCATGGTGAGCATACCTTCCTTGCCAGTGTTGTTGTCCCCCAACCCCATTGTGTGTGTTCTTTGTGTCTTCTTTCAATCAGCAGGTCTTTGATGTTGTTGGATGTATCTATTTAATAATAAATAAGTTTTAAATAAATTTTTTTATTTAAAGGACTGTACAATTTGTCCTTTCTACTATGGATGGACAATGTTGAGTTGTTCCTAGTTGGAAGTATTAGCAACAGTATTACTGTGAACATTCTTTAAAATGTTACCACATGCTTCAGTATTTAACTAACGGCATATAAACTCTGAGTGGAATTTCTGGGTCATAGGGCATGTTTACCCTCAACTTGAGTACTTACTAACAAGTCTTTTAAAAAATGGTCCCAAATATACACTCTGTATTTGGTGAGTCATGTTGAATGTACCATGACTGTCAAAAGAATGAACAAATCTGTCTTGGAAAAAGTACAGACAGAATGCACCTTAGAAGCAATAATGGTGAGACTTTGTCTCATGTGCTTTGGACATGTTATCAGGAAGAACATGTTATCAGGAAGAAAGACGTTAGGTCGATGAGGAAAACTCCTAGATACTACTAGAAGATTGTATAGCAGTCCACATTCTTGCTAACACTTTACCTTGTCCAATTTTTAAAAAGTTTTGTTTGTCGTGGGATAGTAGAATGATATATCATGGTTTTAATTTAATATGTATTGGCTGTTCCATTTGGATGTTCTCTTGTGTGAAGTTTCAAGGCATTTGCCCACGTTTTTCTTTTGAATTGTGTCTTCTTATCAGGTGGTAGGAATTTTCTTAACTGGAGCACTTAGTCCATTTTATTGTGTTGGACTTGGATTTGTTTTAATGACATTTTTGTGTTTGAGTTTACCATTTAATTTTGTGATGTCTCTCTTAATAAATTTTCTAGGTCATTTCCATTCATTCCACATTTACTCAGTCCATTTTATTCAAGACCCCTAGTCTTTAACTTGTTGTAAGATTGAGAGACAAAGGCACGGTAGTTATTTCTAGCTAGGACTAGCATCCTGACAAATCTACATATGTAGATCAGTAATATGTCAACCAGTTGCCAACATCCTTATTCTGCTTTGCTTGTAATATTGCTTCTGGAGTTTCTTTGCCAACAGTTCTGCTTCAGGCAGAACCTGGCTTTGTTTTTTCTTTTCCTTTTCTGACTAGTGACAACACATGACTTTTCTCAGACATGTGAAAGATCCCACCCTGTTCTGTACACAGCCAAAGGTCTTGCTCTCCCGAACTCTTTCTTCCCTGAGGGATAGAATTAAATTTCTGCAGTGCGTTCCCAGTAAAGCTTTGGTCTCAAATGAGATGTTGTCATAAGTTTCTAAATAGGATTAACAGCAGTAATCAGCTTCTTAAATTAGAGCACCAAAAAACTGTAATACCTGACGGAGGAAGCTAGTTTGGGATGGTGCAAAAACCATGGGTTAAAAAGGTCAAATGGTCAAAGTTTGTATTTCCCAGGTGTTTATTGAGTGCCCACTATGGGTAAGAACTGGGCTGGGTACCTTGGATATGGAGGTGGCACGCTTCTAGAAGAGCTCACAGTCTGGTGAGGAAAGAAAGATTTTTAAACATAAAACCATCACTAACCATGTGATCTATGCCAGATTGGAGGGTATGGGTGCCAATCTAATCTCTACCCCTTACTGCTTTGATGATCTTGGGCAAGTTGCTTACCCTCTTGTGAAACTCAGTTTTTGGGTCAGCAAAGGTGCCATGAAATCAACTCATAGTGACCTTCTATACACCAGGACGAAGCACTGCCGGGTCCCACACCGTCTTCACAGTGGTTGCTGTGTTCGGCCCCATTGCCACAACCACTTTGTCAGGCCATCTCATTGATGGGCTTCTTCTTTTTCACTAACCGTCAACTTTACCAAACATAACGTCTTTCTTCAGGGACTGGTTCTTCCTGATAACATGTCCAAAGTACGTGAGACAAAGTCTCACCATCCTTGCTTCTAAGGTGCATTCTGGCTGTACTTTTGCCAAGATAGATTTGTTCATTCTTCTGGCAGTCATGGTACATTCAACACTACTTACCAATATCAGAATTCAAAGACATTAATTCTTCTTCAGTCTTCCTTATTCATTGTCCAGCTTTACATTCATATAAAGAGTTTGAAAATACCGTGGCTTGGGTCAGGTGCACCTTACTCCTCAAAGTGACATCTTTGCCTTTGAACACTTTGAAGACATCTTTTGCAGCCTGATGCAATACATCATATGATTTCTTGGCTGCTGCTTCCATGGGTGTTAACTGTAGATCCAAGTAAAATAAATTCATTGAAAACTTCAGTGTTTTCTCTACTTATCATGCTGTGGCTTATTGGTCCAGTTGTGAGGATTTTTGCTTTCTTTATGTTAGTTGTAATCCGTACTGGAGGCTGTAGTCTTTGCTCTTCTTTGGTAAGTGCTTCAAGTCCTCTTCACTTTCAGCAAGTGAGGTTGTGTCATTTGCATATCACAGATTTTCATGAGCCTTCCTCCAATCCTGATGCCATGTTCTTCTTCATATTGTCCAGCTTCTTGATTCTTTGCTCAGCAGAATAGAATACATATGGTGGAAGAATACAACCCTGATGCACACCTTTTTTTATTTTAAGCCACATAGTATCCCTTTGTTTGGTTCAAACCACTGCCTTTTGGTCTATGTACAGGTTCCTTATGAGCACAATGAAATGTTCTATAATTCCCATTCTTCCAGTGTTGTCCATAATTTGTTATGATCAACACAGTCAAAAATTTTGCATAGTCAATAAAACACAGATGAAAATTTCTCTTATCTTTTCTGCTTTCAGCTAAGATCCATCTGACGTTAGCAATGATATTCCTTGTTCCATATCCTCTTCTGATTGCAGCTTGAATTTCTGGCATTTTTAGCAGATGTTCAGCTATAACTGTTTTTGAATTATTTTCAGCAAATATTTACTTGTATGTGATAATTAATGAAACTGTCCTATCATTTCTGCATTCCATTGGATCACCTTTCCTTGGAATGGGCGCAAATATGGATCTCTTCGAGTGGATTGGCCAGATAGCTGTCTTTCAGATTTCTTGGCACACATGAGTAAATGCTGTCAGCATTGCATCTGTTTATTGAAATATCGCAGTTGGCATTCATTCCATCAGTTCCTGGAGCCTTGTTCTTTGCCGACGCTTTCAGTGCAACTTGGACGTCTTCCTTTAGTACCATCAGTTCTTGATCACATGCTTCCTCCCGAAATGGTTGAATGTTGACCAATCCTTTGTGGTACAGTGACTCTGTGTGTTCCTTCCATTTTCTTTGGATACTTTTTGTGTCGTTCAACATTTTGCCCATAGAACCCTTCAATATTAATCCCTTGGTTAGAATTTTTTCTTCACTTCTTTCAGTTTGAGAAATGCTGAGCGTGTTCTTTCCTTTTGAAAAGGTCTTTTCACATTTCATTATAGTACTTTGCTTTGTCTTCTTGAGTTGCCCTTGAAATTTTCTGTTCAATTCTTTTATTTCATAATTTCTTCCAGTC